CAACAGCAACAAGATGCGGTATCATCACCGACAGCAGAGGTTCTTTGATATCGTCCGCAACTCTTCCAGTGCCAAGATGTTCACCAAATGGCGTGCTGGTCAAGGTTCACGCCGTAGCGTTGAACCCAGTCGATTGCAAGATGCCTCCAGCGATTGCAAAAGAGAGCCTCGTTGCTGGCAATGATTTCGCTGGCAAGATTGTTGAGATCGGCAGCGAGGTGCACTTGATCAGTCGTCCAGGGTGTGCCCCATGGAAGGTGGGAGACCGTGTATGCGGAGCGGTGTTGGGCTGCAATCCGAAGAAGCCAACGAGCGGTTCCTTTGCCGATCTGATCGAGGCCGACCCGGTCACGATGGCTAGATTACCTGATCGCTGGGGCTGGGAAGAAGGGGCGGCTCTTGGGGGATGCTGTGTTGGCGCTGTCGGTCTGGCATTGTTTCGGAATTTGAACCTCAAGCTTCCCGCAGTGGGCGGAGCGACGGCAGAGGGTACAGCGGCAGCAGAACAGCGCGGCGTGGTTCTAGTCTATGGCGGCAGCACGGCATGCGGCACCGCAGCCCTGCAGCTCTTGAAACTGTAGGTACGCGCTCAAGCGCATCGCCACGATAGTCAAAATGCCTCTGACAAGCCGTGATAGAACCGGGTATCCTGCCATTGCGATCTGTTCGCCCCACAGCTTCGGGCTCGCGAAACGTTACGGAGCCACGCAGTGCTTCGATTATCGTTCGCCCGGATGCGTGAAGGAAATTGCAGTATACACAAAACGCGCACTAGCGTATGCTATCGACTGCGTGGCGACTGTTCAGTCAGCAAAGCTATGCTACGAGGCTATCGGCCGGGCTGGAGGTCACTATGTCGGACTCAATCCTGTCCCAACTGAAGTTCGGAACTCAAGAAGGGCCGTGAAGGGCAGCTGGGCCGTCGGGCCGTCTGCTTCGGGCGAGGAGGTGGATCTTGGAGGCGGCTTAACATTTCCGCCCGACGCAGAGGCTCGGTCGCTGGCGTTGGAGGTGTTCGCACAGGTGGAGCTTTGGGCCGAGAAAGACCTGCTCAAAAACCACCCTGTTCGTGCCCTGGAAGTGGGAGACAACTGGATGATTTCCGTTCTGGAGGGATTGAAGAAGCTGCAAAAAGGTGAAGTTAGTGGCGAGAAGCTTGTTGTCCAAATAGCGGCATAGGTGATGTCGTTTTAGAGAGCTCTCGATGCATCATTGAACCACTGCAGGGTATGTGGTAACAGCCTGCGCAAAATCCTCGAGTATGCGCGCGGTCTAATGTTGATGTTTGGAGCTTGATAGTGAGAACCGCAAATGTAGCATGTATTCTTTACCGTCTCATCTTGATTCAGCGGCTGTGGTAATATCGGGTCATGCTTAATGGCTTGCATCTGTTCAAGAGTGTCTATTTCAGGGGCCGAGATGGGGTCGAGGTCGTCCGCCCTGGAAGACTGCCGATTGGTAAAGGTGGCCCCCTATTGTAACCGAATTGCGGCTGTCCATGCAGCTGTCAGCTGCACTATGACCTGCTACGAGCCGCACCCGCCCTTGACCTTAGGCCCCCACCCCTGTCCCTTGTCAGCTCTTCGGCCGAGAACGCCCCTCTGGCTGGTCCCTTTGTGACACCGTCACTTGTCCCTTGGGAGTGGCTTAGCTTTCCTCACTTCGCCTTGTGGAAACCATGGTGGCCGACGCGCTCCAAGCTTCTCCAACAGCATCTCTATTGTCTCCGTCCCGACAGCAGGAATGGATAATCTGACCCAGCTCGCGACCGGTGCGTGTGCTGCCTCCTACCCCTACCATCAACTCTTCGTCCCCAACGACATGGCACTGAGTTGCTCCTCGCTACGTGCTGCTGGATACTGACTTCGACCCTTTCTGCGCATAGACGTCTCCTGGTCTTCCCTCCCGACCGAGTGGCTCCTGGCTGAGCTCGCAAAGCGCGATGATGTTGCCGACGCAAAGCCTGAGTGTGGCTCGGGCAAGAAGGGCTCCTACGACACCTTCATGCACGTCGCTGCCTTGGTCTTGATCCTGGCACTGAGCACAATATGTACATATCCAATTCTGCTCCTCCACCGCCGGCTCCGACTTGGTGATTGTCGCTGACCAGCCTGGCTTGACAGCTTGCGGGTTTCCTCTGATATCCAGCCACTCCCGCAGCCGACGTTCCAACAGCATCGTCTTCTACTCCCAACACTTCGGCACCGGCGTCCTGATCGCGACCGCATTCGTCCACCTCCTCCCGACTGCCTTTCAGTCCCTCACCGACCCTTGTCTTCCATACTTCTTCAGCAAGGGCTACAAGCCCCTCCCGGGATTTATAGCCATGTTTTCAGCGATGGTCGTGGTGGCAATCGAGTCTTACCTAACAACGCGGGGTGCTAGACATTCCCACTCACATATGTGGGAAGGTGACGAGAGCGATGACGAGCACGCAGCCCATCCTGGGCCGAGTGGAGGTATCCTGGCAGCTAGGCGCGGGTTGAACAGGCCTACCAACATTGCCTTGGAGGACCTGGGCGCTTCCGAGGGGCTCATGGCTGGCGCATCCCCGCTTCCGGAATCGACGCCAACGTTGCAAATAAACGGGAAGAGCAATGGCGAGGCCGACGAGTCGAGAGGGGGGAGAGCGCGGGACGACGACGACGACGACGACGACGACGACGTGGATCGGGAATCGATGGACCTAGAGCTGAACATGGACGAGCTCTCGACAGTGCCCCTCGATGGCGGCAACTCAAGATCCTTGATGAAGCCCGGCTCCTCTTCGAATATGCCGACAGTGCCTCATATGCCAAATCCGGAAGAGCAGAGGCGTCTGATGCTGCAGTGTCTGCTCCTCGAGGCCGGCATTCTTTTCCACAGCGTCTTCATTGGGATGGCCATATCTGTCGCCACGGGCCCCCCATTCGTGGTGTTTCTTGTGGCCATTGCCTTCCATCAAACATTCGAGGGCCTTGCGCTCGGCTCGAGGATAGCGGGCCTACACCTTCCCAAATTATCGTATAGACCCTGGCTCATGGTCCTCGCCTACGGCACGACAACTCCAATCGGCCAGGCCATCGGACTTATCGTGCATAACTTCTACGACCCGATGAGCCAGACGGGCTTGCTCATGGTCGGCTTCATGAACGCCATCTCTAGCGGTCTGCTGCTTTTTGCGGGGCTGGTGCAGCTCCTGGCGGAGGACTTCTTGACAGATAAGAGCTACAAGACCCTGCATGGGCGTAGAAGAGTCAATGCCTTCGTGGCAGTGGTAGGAGGTGCTCTGCTGATGGCACTCGTTGGCGCATTTGCATGAGCCTGGCCTAGGGTACTGGAGTTGGGGATCTCAAATGCCAAATTATCTAAAGCATGCATGGGCGTTGGTGGTAAATCCGAATACAATACCTTCCATATAGAAATCATGCCTGAAGTCGTGTCTCATGGGCTGTTGTTTGTAACGCTGTTGCTCAACGTGGATCATGACATCTCCTGGGATGACCCCCAGATACCGTCTCATGCGGTCAAGCCCTTGACAATGCATGGAACATTACACTGCGTAGGTCGTACGTAGCAATCTACCTGATTCAATCATAAGATCTTGGCCAAAGGATGTGTTCCATTATCCCAAGGAAATCGTATGGGATCGCGGGTCCTGCAATGGCAGGAATGGCTATCGGCGTGGCATTCTTCGCCTTCTTTACTGGTTTGGGATCGTTCCATGTCTCCTAATCATTCCTTCTGCCATGCACAGCATGTGCAAGTCTCTAGTCGTCATCCGGCGATGCAATCAGTTTACCTCGAATCATTCCGTCGACTCAAAAAGCTGGAGGGACAGCCTTCCTGTCTCAAACTTCTTCGAGTACTTGCTTCTCTGGCTGTCGAAGAGAGCAGCATGGAAAGAAGATGATTGTGCGTTGATCTCCGTACGAGTGGCGTGTGGCCCTCTTGTGCAATGAATGTATCTGAGTCCAAGTTCGTGCAATGTCGATCTTTGCTCAAATGTCTGCTACGCGGCCACATTATCTATGTACATGAGTATTGAACCACCTGGGCAGTGCTCACTGCCCAACCTCCTGTGGAATAAATTGCATAGGCACAGCAGGAGGTTATCTCATGGTAGGTATCTTGTAGGCGGGTATCCCATGGGAGGGTATCCCACGGGAGGGTATCCTACAGCAGGGTATCCGTGGGATATGATAACATGTAGGAAAGCTTATCTAGGAAATCCTCATGTGGGAAAGCCCTCTCAAGAAAATAACCCGATGGAAATCAGGCAAGCCACGGGGCTCTACAATAGCATTTTTAAAGTTCTCAAGAATGTAACTATGCTACTGTAATACTGTGTGTGTTGACCAGAGATGTTGCAGTCTGGCCAAAGGCATGCTAGGGCCGTATCAATGAAACCCGGGCCAGGTACCTAGGTAGGCAGTTCAAGGATGTGTCAAAGGCATATGGTCAGAGACCCAATTCAGGGGCAGTCGAGTTTCTTCATCTTTGTTGGCCAGTGTTGAAGTAAATATGATGCCGGCATTAAGAGCCTCGCAGTGCAGGCCATTTCGGAGCTGTACACATCATTTTGTCATGCTGGTTTAAGGGCATGGGCTGGTTTGAAACTTCCGGATCAAGAAAAGGGGCAACCACTGCGACCCAACTACGCCACACATATGCACATCATTCATCAGCACACATGGTCTGTAAACATATTTTCATGTTGGGACATGAATGAGAGATTGATTCAAATCAATCAAAGGGAAACCAAAGTCCTCCAGCCAGAGGGGAAGGTGTTGTATATAACACAGGTGAGCAGAACTTAATCACCCATAGTTTGTGCTCAAATTTGCCAGACCAAAAGTTGAGTTAAGGAGTTATTAAATGGCACATATCAAGCAGGACCAATCCTGACCAGAATAAGTCCTGTCTCAAAGTGTGAAAACTGGAGTAGGGAGGAGCAAAAGTGTGAATGTGTGGTGGTGTGGTAAAATGAATATCAACCACCACACATCAACAAAAACAAATGATCTGGCCCGGGCTTGAACCGGGGACCTTCAGTGCTCCCATAAATCACTTTTTAAGGTGATTTTAATGTTAGACTGACGTGATAAACCAACTACACCACCGGACCATGTTGTTGAGGTGCTTTGGAATGCATAGACTATGTTGGAAGTTGGTGTGAAAATCTTTTCATGCAGACAAGTGGGGCCTTGGCTACTAGGGCAACTAGGATGGGCCTAGCGTGTGCCCCACTTCCCCACTCACATTAAACGGGAGTGACCACCAACCTGAGGCGAGGGATTGATTTGAACTCTGAGAGGCATAACTACGGCTGGATGACAAGCTACGGATATGTCACTCTGCTTAGAGATCCTGTATGTTTTGGGATACCTCTGCGGGCCTGAACTGGCAGTATGGTACATCAGTCCCCTCGTCCAACACGACCCAGTCATCCATAGCCGGATGGGACTGGCGAGATGTGTCCCGAGGTCTGAATTCTTATACCGGTACCACACCACATACCCCACGATATCCCCAGCATCTTGCTGCTCATGCGCCAAGACGGTGTACCCGTGGGCGCGTCTGCTATGATCCCAATAGCGCATCTCAGGCGTTTGGTCCTCGCGCCCAAAAAAAAATACACTCGCTCCCAGCCGCTGTCTATTTGGGGAAGCCTGGCCCTGAGACGACTAGAACTTGGCGTTCGGTTGACTGCACATCCAGACTGGTCTACATGCTTACTATTACTAGATCGTCCGATATGCTTGTCCCGCATGTCAGCTTTATGTTGATTAAAGTTATTTTCAACCCAAACACTGGGGTCTTGTCCTTCCACCTACATCGCACAACCACTTAATCTCTAGATGTCGCTTAAACCTTGAACTTCGGGATGGACGGAAATGGAAGTCTAGGCCTTCAAATATGTCGCGCAGAATACCTCTTAGTCGCAGGATTCACAGGTCTAGCCTACCGATTGATTAACTTTCCCCTAAACAGCGCCTTCGTCTGATGTTTCGGCCCTGTCGGCGAAACCCATGACCTGAATCTTCTACGTCTCTATCACGTCGGGACGAAGTCGATTGATGCATCTCACTGACGACGACTGCCATTTGTTTGAAACTGCACCATATGTTTTCATTACTATTTTGAGTGTTCTAGATAGCTCGCCTTGTTCATACTGAGGGTCGCAAAGACGTAGCAGTCGCTCGTAGTACCGGTATACGATCCTCACGTTGGTCTGAATTTTATATAAGAGCACAGGTGACCCCGTCTACGCTGGAAGACCTTTACAACACATCACCGTCATACAAACACACAAATCTCCCCAACCCAACAAGATCATTCCAATCAAATTATACTACCATCCAGCCAACACCCTCTCCAGGGACAACTGCTTCCTTATTATTAACCACCACAACCTCGGAAGGCCAACACAAATCTCAGAAACCATGCAATACTCAAAGAAAGCAATTCTTGCCCTGGTGGTACTCAGCCCAGCATTCACTTCATCGCTCGCTCTACCACGTGTCGCCGTCAGGGATAGCAATGCAGTCACAGTGCAAGATGCTCCTCTCGTCTCACGTCACCTGCCTGGAGCCATGCCTGTCAAGCTTAGGAGCCGCCACGGAGGTGGGGGGGCGACTGGTGAGAGCGAAGAGACCGGCGGCTTGAGTGGTACAGGAGGTCAGTGTTCCGACCCCAGTGGCAACCCTAGAAAACTAACACATGCTGACTTGAATCTGATGCGCAGGCGGCTCATCTACGGGGGAGACCGGAACCGGGGAAACCGGCACTGGAGAAGAAGAGACTGGGACGGGAGAGACTGGGACGGGAGAGACTGGGACGGGAGAGACTGGGACGGGAGAGACTGGGACGGGAGAGACTGGGACGGGAGAGGAAGAATCTGGTACTGGAGAATCTGGTACTGGAGAGGCTGGCACCGGAGAGACTGGGACCGGAGAGACTGGGACCGGAGAGGAAGAATCTGGTGCTGGTGAGACCGGCTCCGGAGAAATAGGCACTGGAGAAGAATCTGGGAGCGGAGAGACTGGTAGCGGGGAGGAATCTGGTACTGGAGAATCCGGTGCCGGAGGGTCTGGCGGTACTGGTGAGGGATCGGGTACTGGGGAAGAGTCTGGTACTGGAGATTCAGGTACCGGTTCGGAAACGGGATCTAGTACAGGATGCTCGGAAGGGGCATCACCATCAGGCCTACCGGGTACTGAGGGTGGCCAGGGTGGTGACGACGAGTCTACTTAGTCTGGCATACTATTGGACTTTGATGCAAGCTTCTATTCTCAATTGTATTTGATGTGCGTATTTGTACAGAGCTGGACCTCTTGCAAGTTAGCCACGCCATTGCAAAATCCACCTGCCAATTGAGACATTTCGAAGCAGTGTCTCAGAAAGCTCATGATGTATGCAGCCTAGAAGGCTTCGCAAATTTGCGACACACAGATGATACATACAAATTCCTTACAGCTTCACAAAACAGGCATCCGAAAACTCCAAGTTGAGTTGCATAAGTCTTCCGAATATCCATCCCGTCTATGCGCTTGTACTTAGGGATAGTCTCTTCACATACATTATTACAAGAACACCACCACATCTTCAAAAATCGTAACACGTCGTCGGGGAGCCCCTGTGGCTTAATAACCCTCTACCTGGCTACCTATATATCCCGCAGGAGATTATTCTCAAGGAGGTTATCCCATGGGACGTTATCCCATGGGACGTTATCCCATGGGACGTTGGTGTGGGTCTATAGGCGGTTCATGCATAGGAGGTTGAGCAGTGACAAATACCGAGGTGGTTCATTTGGTAGGTATTTATGCTGTGGCCGTGTAGCGGACTACCGATCAAAGCTCGTCAAACTAGAGCCGACTACTGATTTCTTTCTGAAGTATCGGGTTGCCACCATTGTTGCCCCATTCGTACCGTAGTAATTTGGTTTCTGAATCAGCAGTACTATGCTCGTTTTGTCCAATACAGTCAATATTCCGCTTCTCCGTGGAGGAATCACGAGAATGGTGTGAAGCTCCTGTGTATACCTGCAGGAGGATTCTATGTTGTGGATCCACACGACCCTAGAACGGGAAGAAATTTCCGAGGATACCGTGGGAAGAGATGGACCTGCCGAATTAAAGGGTGGGGAAGTCTCGGATCACAAGGAGCATTGCATCGAGAATAATGGGACAGGTGGGACTTTCTTATCCTGTGCTTCATCACAAGATTGAGTAGGATCCCAGGATTGCCAACTCGCCATTGGGTGTGGATTCTTCTCGCTTTCTTCCGCATCTGTTGTCTGTGACTCTGTGGACTCATTGCGCTGCAGGCAAGAATTCAACCTGTGAAGAAAAATGGGGAACGGGTTCGGCGCGGACAAGAAGATTGCTGATAGTATCTCCATCTAGACTGCGTATGGTAGTCGCAGGTATCTAGTGAACATCAATTCGCGGTTTTGGAACGATTCACACATTGAATCTCACTATCGCAATACGAGCAAGCTCGGCCGAGGCAGTCGCCACGCACCTATGCACTCAAAATCACGCCTCCAGCCCTATTCACAACGTTGTTGAATTAACGAATCCAGACCAACACGTGGACGCCACGAGAGCGCTCGCCATGTAAATTGTAATTGCCACCTTCCCTTTTCGTCATCACCACCCATCGGCCGCTGTTCCTTGGGGGCGTCGAGTCATTTCCGGTCACACTTGAACCTAAACCGTCGCTCGAATCATTGCTGTCATGTCCAGATTCATCTGTCGCACGTGGCCGTGGCGTCGAGCCCGTTCCCAATGTCTGGGAAGCTGAGAGACATTGCGGTACACTAACAAGACACATTCTTGCACGAGTCGGTGTGCGCCACGGCCAGACCATGTGTTGTAGATGAGCTCTGTAGATGCAGGCGGATGTGTTGTGTGCAAATTGTGACTTGCAAGGGCTCTGTAAAACACTCGCTCTTGAAAGTATGCACGCCCGCCTACTCCAGACCTGTAGATGTCAAGCTCCATTGGACCGAAACACCGCGCCGCGAGCGCCAGATACGAATGAAGATACACTTGTCGCAGGACGGGAAGCAACCCGGTTGCGTGAGGTGGGCGGCGAGTCCCGAGCGCTCGGCACCGGAGAGTCCCAGGCAACACAGACCCCCTAAGCCCACTGTTGTGCAACATTCCGAGATGAATATTTCATACGAGCCTCGGGCTACCCCAAAACATGTCATTGTGCCTCGACCCGACTGCATGAGGAGGGTTGCACCTGACATCAACATAGGTACTGTGCAGTCTGATTGCGTACTATGTCTGTCGGATGAAGCCGAGCCTGCACTCCTGATCGTGTCGGCCCTTATTAGACCCTTCTAATAGAATTACGGTCTTCCAGATGACCACACTTTCGGCTTGCTTCCTGTTGTGACTCTTTTCTTTCCCCCTTTGCTTCCTTTCAACCTGCAAGACCTGGTCCTGGTTCAGTGAAAGTTCAATCGTCACATGTCGACTCACCGCGTCGACGTGTCTTGTGGCGAGCGCGGCTGTGGCGCCACTTGCCAGCAGAACCAGTGCTGCGCCCAGCATCTAAAATAAATCCCGGTGACGCGCTGACGCGGTACTTAGGAGTTGCTGGGGTGGGTTACTTGATGGCTGTACGACAGCAGGATAGTGGCAACGCACGGGAGAGGGAGACCCCTGCTTTCATCACTCCACTAGGAAAATCCTCCGATTCTCTCTCTCCCGTGAGAGGCAGCCGCCGCCAAACAGCGCTGCAAGGGCCCGTCAAGCTTCCCGGACCCTGGCAGGGCCCCGGCGCGCATTGCTTTGCCAGTGGCGCAGAAGTGGATGTCAGAGTCTGTTTCCCGGGGCTGCATCCCTTTCCCATTCGCCGCCCAGACTAGGACAGGCCCGTAAATCCTCAATATTTCTGGGCCACTCACAGCCCGAGGCCGCCATCACAGCTCGCAATAGGCTGGAACCCCGATCCGGACAGGGACCAATCGAGCCTCTGGCCTTGGACGTCGTTGTGATCACTTCACCCCGTCCAGCGGGTAACCAGGGGACGCCGCTCGTAGTGTCTTCCAACGCCCTCCTGGTGCCTCTCCCATTTGTCTACATCTTGCGCAGATATGTGGAGATC